ATATATAATTTCATATTTCGTCTTCACATATTTGTCTTATCGACATTACGACGTATTCTATTCTTCTATTATTTTATCGCACCCTCTACACATCGTCGAATTCCATATTCTCGTATTTGTATGCTTCTGATAGTTTAGCAAATAAAGTTGTAGTGACCATCATTCACATGCCTATTTCAGTTAATTGCTCGTACTCAATTGAACTGCAAAAGGTTGCCGTATGCATCTTCTTCATTAAAATTATGTTTTAAGATGTAGTGCACCTATTTACTCAAACGGTTCCTTATATTGTCTTTGCTTCGGGATCTTACCCTAGGGTCCTTGGTACCTTATTTTATGTTGGTTTATTTACGAAAACATTCTTGGAATTTTTGTTGTGTTTTCTCATCGATCATTTATATCTACCGACACTGAATTGGTATATTTGCATGTGACATAAGACTAATACACTGCATATATACTTAATTAAAAGTATACTCTTTTTTATATGCATGTATCTCACATACCTAGATTCTTTTCTCGAGATTTATTATCCTCTATCGTCTTCGATGTATGTTTTCACATGCTTGGTACGCCACAATTCACATGGATTGTATCGACTGTATAAATGTCCGTCTTTCAATACATGCGCCTATTTGCCGCCATTACTCAGCCGAACCTGTACACTCACACGTCAGAAGTGTGTCTGTTCTGTATTTGTTCAGTACGTTATCCTTTTACGACCCAATTTTTTTCACACATCCAGGCGGTCTTGCTGATCCCCGGTTAGGTACTATGGAACGAGAGATGAAGTGCCAGAGTTGCCACGGAAGCTCGAAGGATTGTCCGGGTCATTTTGGGCACATAGAGCTGGCGAAACCTGTGTATCATGTCGGGTTTATTAAGACAGTTGTGCAGATCATGCGATGTGTTTGCTTTCACTGCTCTCGGTTGCTAGCAGGTGAGTTTCGGTAATCTGGAGTGGTGCTGTACGGCGCGGTCTTGCACATCGTCGTCATAGGATATCGAATTGAAGTATCCCTACTGTTACGTGTCAGCAGAATACCCTGTGGTTACTTGTCTGTAGTTTTCTGTCTGCGCTGTTTTAGTAGTCCTATGCGGTACATTTGTGTAGATATGATCATTGTTGACACATTGTTGACACTATACATATATGTATACACACGCACACACACACACACACACACACACACACA